GTGTGTCGAGGTTGCAAGACGGTGGGCCGAAAAGTTGTTCTCACATTCCAACAGTCTTTGCTCCATTCGATTGCAATCCTGCTTGAGTTTCGGGTGATACCATTTCACGGAGTGCTTACAACCAACTTTTACTTGGAAATGGAATCTCAAGTCACAATAAATCACTAAGGGATTGCTTGAAATCCAGTTTTTCTTCATATCTTACAAATAACACTATTTCGGCTTCCATATCTTCATTCCTGAAGTCACTCTACGCGACCTAAACTGACTACGCCCTTATTCCAAAATTCAAATATACTCATATTGAATATAAGTAGTGTATCCGAGTATGCCGAAGTTCTGAGAGGAAAGTTGCCTCATGCGACAAGCGAAAGAGCAGCACAACTGGATCGGGGTCGCGGGACGGTGAGCCGAGATCCTCTTTTTCGTACAATCCACTGATCCCAAGTCACAAGGCAGCCAGTCTCTCTCTCGCCAGCCCATTAGAAGGACACACCTCACAGACGCATCGCAGACAGAGTCCCAATTTGGGCCATGCACTGTCGTGAAGCCGGCGGTGTTGCTGCCAGGTCCGAGGCGGAGCGAGAGAAATCGTCAAAAATGATGCGACATGTCGAAAAAAAAGATGATTTTGCCAAACCGGCCGAACAGCGCCCAGTCCACTTTCTGTCGGCGTCTCGCAGCCCAACTTGCACCAGCGGAGTGTGTGTGTTTGTGCGTGTGTCGGCCGACTGAATGAGGTACAGCCATCCCATACGACCTCGGCCGACCCTTAAGTGCTTTAGCCCAGTGGCGCTGGCGGGTCGGACCGGTCCGGGCCGGTGATAGAATAAACCGGGGGTGTCCGCATCGGTCACCGAGACACCATATACCGGCCACCGGCGGAGTGGACGATGGACGTCTATAGGCTCGTATTTTCCCAAAGTCCATTATCCTCGTATGACGTATCCGTCTGCCCTTCAGCACAACATCTTCTGCCCACAGTTCACTCCGTCGGCTGGCCATCCGCCAATTTAGTTTCGTGCATAAATAGGCTTCGAGGCTACCAGTAGACAATTTGTATGAAAGGTGGAGTCACCCTATTTCGCTTAACCTAATGAAGGAGTGGTTGTTCCATTTTCCCACAATCACACGAACACGCCTCACGAATTTCACATCATCCTGCCTCAACAAGGGCTATTCTCATCCGGGCCTCTTCTGAACCAGACTCCTCGCCACTCACAGCGGGACTCGAACCCGAGTTGCCGTAGTGCAAAGCTAAGTCTGGACACACATTGTCACCAGTGCACAGGGCCTTTCACACATCACATTTCTGTGATGGGATCGTCAATGAAGCAAATTCGATATTTTCTATTACTATTCTATTACTTGACTACTTATTTTCGTTTATAAGTAGATTAGGAGACAATATATATATAACCATACAACTTTATACCTCATCAAATAGCCTAGACAAAGGGTATGTATACAACATTTAGGGATGATCCGGCGAGTTTTCTTGACTCGTTTGCATAAATATGGTTATCTGTATCATAGACTGCTCGGATGATGTCCGTCATACGACATCACTTTTTCACCAGAATCGAAGGAGATTACTTCAGAAAGAATTTCAGTAAAGCCAATCTACGGCTGGTCAAGAAGAATGGGCCGTTGTCTTCTGGTGGGATCGACCTTGGAATCGCTTCACTAGACATCTGCACTCGAAAGGAAAGTGTGCTCAACAATTAGGAATCCGAAGATTTCCCAAAACCAAACTTTTTTCTTTAAAATTCAACAACTAGTCCTTCATCATTTTAAACGAATTAGACTGAACCCTTCTTGCACACCAATCCATCTGTCTGTTTGGCCGATTATTTATTTATCAGTTAATAAATTAAGACTACATGTCGAATTTCGACTCTTTTCAGCCATTAAACATCTAAAAAATGTGACCCTTACCACAAAGCCAATCTTCTGAAAACACGAAAACACCACTACCCTGGAGTATCAACCGTGCCTCCTCATTAAAGAACCGCCAGCGGAAACCGAACTTGCCACAGCCTTGCAAGGATCCGTATTTGCTCGAGAGATAAATTGAAAGGACACACAGCCCCTGTTACTTTGAGAACCAGACCTGGAAAATGCCAAAATGGACTATGCTTAAAAGCGACAAAGAAACTTTTTCTGTGTCAAGGTAACGTGTTAGACGTTTCCTAACTTCGAGGTTGAGCAAATGGTTGGCGTATCGTGTCCAAAACCTGGTGTTGGATACAGTAACCTCCTTGTCCGACCTCGAATGTTCCAAAATGAGTTTCAAACAGTAGACGCTGTATCGGTTTGGAGTCATGGAAACCGTTAATCAAGTGGAGGTAGGCATATTTTATTGTCCGTGAAGCTACGATCCAATTGTTGGGCTACAGAGAGACCGTACAACGGAGAGGAATGAGCGAAAATTCGGCCAAAAACGGTTGTCCGGACCATGAAGACGTTAACCCCATTACGTCTAACTCCACTTGCGCCTGATGACAGCCCGAACTTTGAACAATGTCAAGTTGGAGTGTATGCCAGGGCAAAACAAAGATGTCTACCATTCAGTCCCCAAGTCTACTACTGTAGGCGCTGCTGGTGTTGCTGACAATGTTACTAATAATGATTCCGACGTTGCTGATGTCACTGTTAAGGTTTTGCTGAGGCTGATGATATCGATGATGATATTCATGAAGATATCAATGTTGTTGTTGTTGATGATGATGATGATGATAATGTTAATAATGATGTCTACGCTGTCGATTTCAATCTTAATGTTTCTACTGTTGTTAAGCATGACGACGATTTTGTCGATTTTAATTTATAATGCTTCCACTGATGCCAAGGATGATGAAGTTGATGAGCATCGTGATGCTGCTGCTGCTGCTGATAATGATAATGCTGATATTTCTGATGATGATGATGATGATGATGATGTTAATAATGATGTCTACGCTGTCGATTTCAATGTTAATGTTTCT